GAGCGCGGGAAATGTGTCAAGATAATAGTAAAAATAAATGGTTAAAACAATGAAATTTGGTCATAGTACTAGTGAAACAGATTACTACTTTTTCGTTTGCTTATATTTAGTATTAGTTTGTCAAACAGTGAACTGAATAATTCGAGCCAACATATTATTCCGTATAGTTAAATATCAGTCAACACAAATCAGTAAAGATGATCATTGAGCTGGAATATTCAAGTAAAATAAGTGTGTTGAATTTTTGATGTGTTTAAATAAAAGTATAGTGGATTGACCGATATTAGTTACCTGTTCTTATCATTGTTTGATTTCTCAATAATAAAGTAAAATGATAAATATTTGACCCATAAAGTTATTGGTTTTAATTATTAATTTACTCTGTTAAGAGTTTGTATTTAGGGCAAAAAGCAAGGCGCAAAACCAAAAATGGAAGGCCACGAAAAAGGTCGGGGAAGGAAGTTGCAGCAGACGCGCAAAAATAACAGAAAAAAGATCTCAAGTTGTAATGATGGAAAGAAACCTACAAGAAAACGATTGGCATCATAGTAAAGGATGGAGGTTGAGATGCGGGGTGCAGCACTAGCTGTAGAAAACCGTGAAGACCAACCAATATATGATTTTGTTGTGTATATCCATTTTCGACCATTAACAGTTCGAACATAACGAAAAACTGCGCAGTAAACGAAACACATCCCAACAAAAAGATGATGGGTCCATAGCATCGTCTTTCTGAGATTTCCAACAAAAAGTCTGACAGTCCAGTGACGGTTTCCTTACAATTATTTGAGAAATGTCAAACGCAAGTACTAGTTGGGCGACTTGCGCACTAGACTTTTATTCTCTATTATACTCTTAGGACCATACGAATGATGAACATGCAGTTCATCCAAAAAATTACAAGTAGTTTCGTAACGATTTCCGTGAATCCATACATAACTTTCTACATAACAACAAAGAAGGCTCAGAAGTTACAGATTAATCACAATCCAAATTACTAAATCTTGACGCTGCCAATATTATAATATAATACAACAAAAAAATATTTGTGAAACTAATTGGCTAGACATAATTTTTATCCAGCCACGCCTATATGCACTAGTCCTATTTTTTAGATTTACTACAAAGTGTAAAACAATGTATACTAAAAGTACAAATGCTCATACCTTCACCAAAACCTCTCAACCAAAAACTATCGAGTGTCACGCAACGTTAATCTCCATTTTTTAGAATCAGTCAGTCTTACATCCCCTTCCGTTGCCCCGTAAGTACGTTCATGTGTTGTGCGCCTACTCACACACACATACACACGACACACCGCTCAACTGACTGTTACAAGGTTATTCCAACAAGTTGCTCGGCGTTGCCACTTTTCGAATGGTTTTTTACCAACACGCTGGCATGACGGAATCTGGTTTTGCTTGATACATAGCTGAGAAACTGAAAATACTTACAACTTTTGATGGCGATTATTTTTCTTTCATACTATAAATATATAAAATATTTGAAAGATAAGTACTAAGAAATTTATATTTTAGAATTTTGTGGTTTAAACTATGCAAATACTGTTAACCACATGGGTATAATAAGTACTAACACGAATGATAAATAAAACTACAGCTATTGTCTTATAAAAGTGGCGCAGGTCTCAAATATGAATAAGGCTAATAGAAAATTTAAATAAAAGAATGTAACTAATTCAATTACAGTAGATGTATTCTAAGAATCGTGATTATTGTTATGAAGGATCTTACCAAGAAGCCATACATTTTTGCAAAAGCAAAAAAATAAAATACGTGGAAGACAAATGTTTTGATTATATTAAACTTGTTATTTCACACCGTTTAATCAACTTTTTTATAAAATTGGGCAGCAATTTTTTCCACAGGTATCCCAGATGGAGCAATCGCGTTTTTTGAGGCCATGCACCGTTAGGTACAGGCTTCGTGGCCAGACCCACCAGACAGTAGGCTGACGAGCAAACTCCGTTTACCAAATCGGCAGCCGATTGTCCAGCACACAGAAAAACCCAAATGGAGAGTCAGTGACCAAGACCGCTGGCTCACTGGACGGACACATATGGAGAAGAGGCAATTCTTGAGGATTCTCATAAAGAAAGGTAAACCATACGCACCCTTGATAGAGTGGCATCACCGCAGAATGTCCTGTCTGATACCCCATGACCCAGGCCAAGATCAAATGAAGTAAAGTCTCCCAAAGTGACCTCTTTGATCTTCGGACAGGAGAATATCTTTTTCCGGGAATCTCATGTACCTTGGAGCTGGGATTTACTTTGTTTCGTGTGTTTGTGTGATCTATTAATCTTTGTTTACTACTACATGTAGTGTGTGAGCATGAAAGAGAGATGGAATGAAAGTCCTATTACCTATAGGTAAACAATCTGGTTCGAAGATCTGGTGGTTTTGTAGTCTTTTTTTAAATTTTTTCATTACTACGACCCAGTAATATTGAGTGCCCTTTTCCCATTTAGACTTCAACTTCATATAAAGTTCTGTTCTGTCCTGTACTTAGTTCTTGCTTTTTTATATATTTTTTTTTTTTGAGAAAAAAGTACGAACTCCTTGAATATTATAGCCAATAAAAACAAATTAACTCGTGTTTTGTTCCAGACGAGTTGTATGTCCCATAAAGTTGTTTGTAACAAAATCGTAACGTTTGTTAATTTTAGATAACGTCAAACTCGTATATTTTTAGGCACGAACCATAAACAGGCACGTCAATCCTCTTTAATAGGATAAAAACAAAATTTACTGGTAGGAATGTCGATAAAGATAATTAAAATAAGCATATCAGAATGACCTTTCGCATCATTAAAAGATAAGAAGATAATTGAAAAAAAATATTTATGAAATGGAAAAATGGTACATCGTCTGATAACGATATCTAAATAATTGGTTCAATGAAGGCTTCTATATTTGTAGATGTTTCAAACAAAAATATATTTTATAACAGATCTTTGGTTAGTGTTTTAGTTTGGTCAAAAAGTAAAGTTAAAATTTATTGGTTTGTCCTTGAAGCTACTGGGTTTTATTATAGATTAACTATAGATAATAAAATAATTTGAAGCGCGAAAAGAATACTATAAATAGATAAAATAATTGGAAAAAAGAACTTTATTTAGCAATTAATTTTAATTTAATAATAGAAACTTCTAGATTTGACTTGACATACACATTTAGATTACTTGAAAACACTGAACAAAGACCTTTTTACTGTGGGCAACAAAAATCAGGTCAAAGTCTTAAAATCCCCGTCCTCTATGGGGAAAAAACTATTTCCAATAGACGGCAATAAAGATTTTGCGTTTAGCTACCCCTTAGAAGGTTGAAAGCATAGAAATTCGAACTGTATATGTAACATAGCAATACTGATAGACCGGGAGCAGTTGAAAACTATTTTACCTCATGTAAAAAAATTTCGCTGAATGCGAAATGTTACAGATCTCAAAAAGTGGTACCAATTTTTATAAACAATTTTTTATAAATAAATTTTCAAAATCTAAATATTTTAACCTACAGTCCCATCGTAAAGTACTACTAAAAATACATTAAAACTACTATATAAGGTATAAAAGTTTACCTTATAGGTACTTTAAAAAGTAGTTAAAAAAATTTCAAGTCGAAAAATCGAAGATTTAGCCCTTTTTAGAACTTATTCATGATAACGTTTTACACAATAAAAGTAAAAGTAGAAGAAGAACCGGCCCTATTGAAGCTGGCAATGGGGTAAGACAGTGAGATTCCCAGTGTCCTCTATTGTGAAACCTGATTATGGATGAAATAATAAAAAAAGTAAGAACTAAAAAACGATACCAAATTGGAGAAAAACAACTTAAAATATTCTACTATGTAGATGACGCATTATTAATCTCTCAAAGTGAAGATCATTTACAACTGTAGCTACTATTTAGCACGCGTAACGTGTCAACACCTACTAGACTGCTGTGATTCTGCAAGGGCGAAAAGCTTATTTATTTATTGTTTGTATCTCAATGAAAAAAAATTTCTGTCATTTTTTCAATAGTAAATTGTTAACATAGGTTTAAACTTTCTATTTGTGGGCTGCTATTAGAGAAACATGCATTATGTGAATGTTTCTGTTTTGTGTAAAACAGAAACATTCACATTCAGAAGGGATTTGGAAAATTCGATGTTTTCCAGACAAACTCTTCTTAGTCTTTTCGCATTTATAATATAATGCTTCTCTCCACATTGCACTCAAATGGAGAAAACACAACATGATTATATTGGGGAAAGTTCTATGTAAAATCCTTACAAAGATGTGTGAAAGAAAGAATCAGTGAACAATAGAGTAGTAGTTTTTGACTTTTTCAAAAACCTTTTGGTGTTAACCTGATCTTACTGCAGCCAACTGACTTATTGAACATCTTGCATTCTTCTTCTTCCAACGCTAGGTTTTAATATTAACGACTGCTTACCTTGCCGGGAACGACTACTTACATAGCCGTCTTGAATGTTATTAATTTGTTTAGCCGATGTGCCTTTTCAAACAAGGGTCTCCCTTTTTGGAATGTAAAGCAACGTAAACAAAAGGGGGAGTAGCAGTATGCTACTAGTGGGGCGTTTTTTTTTTGAGGAAGGTGAAGTTGAAGGATTTTTGAGTTGAAGAAGATCGGCATTTTTGGTCTGCAGCTTATTTTAGCTGCGATGTTTTATGGGGGTTGCTGCTAGAACGTCGTGATAATAAGGACAACCCGGACCGACGGCTTTACGTGCTCTCTGACGCGGCACGATATCCCCTGACAATTCCGGTGTCACTTGGGCTGTTGGGTTTGGTACGGTTTGGTACATTTTTAGTCTTATCATAAAATATTTTATGGCTTTTTTTCTAGTAGATATTTTGATCTGAAGCTATTTTTTTGTTTCATTTCAAAACATATTTTGAACTAAAATTGTGATTAATTTAAATAAAAATAGTAAATAAGATATTTCTGTTACTATTTCTTACTATATACTCACTATTTCGTCTTTATAGTTGTAGTGCTCGTTATTCACAGAATGTCGGAAGAACACTTTATTTTGCCCGACCTATAAAAAGAAAGAATGAAATTGGTTATGCATATTGGAAACTTCCATTCCATGCTTAGGTATGCGCGGTGAAAGCACGTCAATAATCTAGAATGCAAAATAAACATCTCCAGCAATAGATAATTAAAAATTGTTCCTTGAACTATTGTACTATGGAAAAATTTTGTTTTGACTGTTAGATATATATATGGAAAAACACGAAGTAAATCAGTTTTGCGTTCATATAGTAATAAAATGGATACATACATAAAATTGTATAATTACTTCATTTGAGAGCGCAGATCATTTTAAAAAACAAATTATTTCGTTTGTTAGCGAGATTTAGAGGTAAGATTTTCTTTTCCTTCTTGTCATCATTTAAACTAAAAGCATCCCACAGATCTTTACTAAAGTACCTAATAAATTAGAAACCCGTACCTACGTACTAAAAGTTTCGTTTTCCAAGGCCACAGTTCGTTTTATGCCCTAACACTGTAGATATTATCTAGGCAGGTAGCCATGGAATAATGATTTGGATTGGGGATTCCGAACAGGACCGGTTCTACGAAAGATCAGTTGGTAAAAATAAAGAGCAGTCAGGAAAATATACTGAACTGAATATATAATACATAATGGTCATAGTCACATTGACGTAATAAAGGTAGCAATATATTACTATGAAATAGAGGCCAGATACCTTAACTGAAAGATAAACTACACTGGAAAACAATATAAGGGGCGTTAAAAATTCCATTGATAACGGTAATCTCACTAAGCAGACATCCCACAGAACGCTTTTCTCATTCACGTTGGCAAAGAGAAATAGAAAATAGTAAAAAGACGGTGGCCACCCCAAATTACTGTAAAATTAATAAATATTTATTTTTTGATAACTATATCATGCGGCGTATCCCTTCGAGATCAGGGGTTTAGTTTTGTCACTGTTACTGGTAAATATTTTAGATAGAGGGTTAAGTATGTGTTATACATCAGCTTCCAACTTCCTTTTAACCGTGTTGATATATCTTCAAACGACGCGACAGCATGCTATCACCGTAAATAAACACTTTTGCTCCATCTGAGGTATTGCAAACCACACATATTGAGAGTAAAAACGCTATTCAACGACATCTTATCACCATTTTCGCTAAACCTTTATATTTTTTCTCATGCGCTGTCACCTTCGAAGGTTGGCGATCCAAATGGCAATTGTACTTTTGGAAACTGCTGCGCGAAAGATTTCTGGGAATGAGTGGTCGAACCATCTCCTCAGGTTGAGCCACGAGTTCTAGCGTCTTCCTTCTGATCTTTTGCCCTGTACTTTTCCTTCCGGTATATTGAAGTAATTCATATCTTTCACCTCTCAACACATGACCCAATTATTGCATTTTAAAGGCATCTATTCTTTATTTCTATTTCAAAGTCCAGTGTCCAACTTCCACAGCAATACAGAAGACAGAAAAAACGTAACCTCTGATCATTCGGATTTTAAGCTGCAGACTAAGGTCTAATCTTGTAAAAAATGTTTTTATGCTCATGAATGTTTCCTTGCTTGTTCGATTCTCAACATGATTCCTTTTTTTTTTGATTACACTATATTACACTGATATTGACTCCCAAATAGTTTATGGAATTTACCTGTTCTATTATTTGACCCTTGGCATACACATGTACACTTATTTGTGTCTTAGAAAATAATAAAGTTTTGGTTTTGGAAACGTTTAGATGTAAACCGAACATTTCGCTGTGGTTAACTACCGCATTTATTATATTTTGTAGTTCTTGTGCGTTGCTTGCTGAAGATGGTACCATTAGTATATCTGATGTTGTCTACCTTTATATACTATTAAAATACAGTAAAACGAGGAGTTAACATAACTATATGCCTAGAGTGCAGTTGAATTAAAAATATATTAAATATTGAACATGTTTTGATTGAAAATTGATAAATGGTTGAACAGGCAAACGAATTGTGTTCTTCAAAAATACACCAGTAAATTTTCCCAATCTTTACGTGTAGTTTACAAATCGTATTTCCTCATTCTCTCCTCCTTTCTTTTAAAGGCGCGTTTACACGATGCCACTTTTCGGGCGTTGTTTAATTCAATACTGGACACATCTGTATAGCCTGCCTCTTTCTACCAATTCCAATAGGTAGAATTAGCTGTGATCAAAATTATCTACGAATTTCTTCACACCGGAGGTTCGGGTTCGATTCCAGGTCTCGAAAAATATAAAATCACATCAAATCAGTGATTTTAATAACTGCATAGGTGAATTTCCTATTTGATATTTAAAAAATCGGTGTTGCAGATTTAAACCAAAAAAAGGTTCCCATTCTGTAGGCAAGTTCTACATCTGTATTCTGGCATGTTACACGTATCTTTTTGGCCTATAGATATAGGGACAAGTTAAAAGAAAAAAACACATGATAAAGCAAATAAAAGATACAACACGATTATAACAAAATAACTCAAATCTCAAAACACAGAAGCTGAAAAAGTCCAGGCCGGTTCTGATTCACCATGAACTTAACAGGTACCAAAAGCAACAATATAAAAATAAGCTTGACTTAAGGGATTTAAAAGTAATTGTAAGAAAATAGTAGGATTTCTAAGAAAACTTTTGGGGTTTCGGATAATAAAATTATACTGTCTCCATTTTTGGTAAATTTAACAAATAATTTATTACCAAGAAAAGATTACAACATTGAAAAACTAACTACTTAATATTCGTTTGGAATTTTCGGATGAATGTATTCCTTTCAGAATAATCATAAATATAAACTTAATTATCCAAAACAATACAATCCCCTAAATTTTCCCTTGAGATACAAATATTTATTTTTAAGCAAGCAAGCAATATCTTCGTCACGTAAAGTCTAATAATTATGTAAACATTTTTGTGTGGAGCTCCTGACAAATGGTCTTAAAACAAGGTAAAACTTAACTGCCGGAATCTGCACTTGTTGAACTACAAATGACTTTGTAGTTCAAAGTCATTTGTTCAAAAATTGATGACAAAAAAATCTAGTAATCGCTACCCATTCAAAGAAAACATCTCTAATTCTCATTGTCAGAAGTAATATCTGAGAAAACACTTTTTTTAACAAAAACGTTTGAAACGTTAAATATTTAATGAGTTGCTACAGTTTGACGTAAAAGTTTGTATACTAACATTAGATTCGGTTAATGTAATAGTACAATATACAAAGTTACGTCCTGCTAAAAAATGGCTTTCACTGTGTAGCAACAACACATCGCCGATCATCTATCGGATTTTACCTCATTTAATAGTTTCATCTGAAGCGATGATGAAACTAAAAAAATATACTCATATAAGTATAAAATCTGGTTCTCTCATAAATCATATAAGCGACCGGATCGCGTTGGCATGTGGCAACATGGGATCCGTTTATCAAGTGATTTGAATTTCAAATTTGCCACTAACCGTGAACAATTTATAAACAAATGAAACAATATTTAGAGATATAAAAATTACCAAGAATAACTCAATGTAGTGGTTACAATGTGTAAGAGCTTGGTAATTAATAAGAAATAGATTACTAAGATATTTATGAACCTATTTTATTTTTGGGCGAAGAACAAAGAAAGATAATGTATATTTTTAATGTTGACGATTCACAAAAAATTAATTACTCATATTCAGTTATATTTTCTAGCATAAAAATGGACGCGCCTTTATCCAACCTTTTTAAAATATTCTCAACTCCTCAAATTAAAATCTTTTGGGATAAATTTTAATCGTATAAAAAAATAAGCGACTTGGCAACAAAGCAGTCTATTCTTCAGTAAGTTGAAACCCTACTACTTGTTGCATGAACAATGTGATGGATCATTGTTAGCTTACCTAGACATGCAAAGGATATCAGTAATACCTATAACCTTGAGATGGATATTACTTATCACGATATCCAATGAAGTATTGGGAAATATTGTCTTTCAGAGTTATAAACTCATGCAAGATAATATGTGGGTAAATATTACCATGTTCAATGATAACTAGGGTAAAGACATTACAACAAGAATTAGAAAAATTACCTTTGGAAATCCAATTTATAACTCGTCTTTCGATTTAGGTACAAAAAATATCGTAAATACACAAATTTGATAAATGAAGGTAGTGAAAAAATATAAATATAACAAATATAAAAAAAAATCACGAAATACAAAATATGATAATAAAAGCAGAATACACAGTATGCAAATTAATGTGAACATATTTTCAAGTTTCACTTTTTTTAGCAGACGGCAACACTGACTTGGTAGGAACATTAAGCAGTGTAGGTTTTGACAGTTAGCAAGTAAAAAACATAACAAAAGCTGCAATTTTTTTGAATTTTATTTCCTTTCAGGATTATTGTGTTTTGACTGAAGTACTAAGACATTTTTGCTCCCTTTCGAAGATGAATATTACTGTTAAAAGACTAAGATTGTTAAGTACATACAAATCAATGACTGAATAATGTAAGAGTTGTATGTAATGTATGGGTAAGTTACAACGAAAACCTTTGATGGAACAGTTAAGATCTTTTGTAGATGTTCTGTGGGCTGGTTTTCTTAAAAAGGTACTAGATTTCTTTAATGTTCATAAAATATATAAAATAAACTCGCAAAAATGCACACAACTGTTACACATAGATTGGAAACAAAACAAGACAAAAATTGGTGCCAATATTCAAGCAGTAATTCAACAACATTCGATTACATGCCAGGTTTTATTATAATAGATTTAAGATAGACGTATTTTCAACCAAAATCGTGATTAATTCACATAAATAGATAGTTTTTTGTCTTCTAAATTATTTGAATGAATTTAAATTCATACAGAATATTTATTTCAGCTTTATTTACTAATCTAATAATTGAATGTTCTAAATATTTAAAATCCACAGATAAAGTCACGTAATAATTATATATGTCATTAAAAAAAAGCCTTTTCTAGCTGGAAGCCGTTTAAGTTTTTTTGGAAACAAACTACCTGTGGTATTACCCAAACAGGTATCCAGCAGGTTATGTCTACTTGGTATTCACGGACGACGATCAACAACAAAACCGGCTCAAAATGTTGGGAAGGTATCTAACCAAAATTCGTGTGTAGTAGGTACATAGTGTAGGGGCGATGCTGGAACGGAGGGTAGGAATATGACCAGGCAAAATTAATGTATAGATACAATTATCAAGGCAGGATGGTAAATACAAAAAGAGGGTTTTATAAATAAGTTTTTAGGAAGAAAACGTGTTTTATAAATAATATGTAATCAAGGCACAGAGGTTCATATGTTTTCATCCGAAAACTAAAAATGTTCAAACATTTTAATATTTAACTATGAGTTATAAATTATAAAATCAGTTTGGACATCAGATTTGGAAAAATTTATTTATTTTATTATTATTATATTATTATTTATATTTATATTATATTTATTATTATATTATTTATTTACGTAGGGAAACTAAAAATATGTATGAAACAAGAGTTGTTCAATTATTATTAATAGCGTATATGATAGACTTTTTTAAAACCTCAATTTAGAGGCTTGAAGAAAACATTTTCGCTCACCACCTTTCAATGTTGTTAGGTCAGATTTTACATTTTGTATATAAAAAAATGTCGAAATTTTCAATTAAATTTTAGAAAACCTTCCTGCTTTCTAAAATAAGTTCACTTGCGAATTTCAGAAGGAAGTTCAATGAATTACTAATATTTTTCCCTAAATACATTAAATGAACATTGGCTGTTACTTCTATAAAGCTCTAAAAATAACCAACTAAGTATCTTTTACAGAAGAGCACTTCATTTTGAGTGATTATGAAAGTAACAATATTTTTTGAGGGCAGTTGAATGAATAGCTCTAACTAAAATCACAAATAAAAGCAAACAGAATGAATGAAATGAAACAAAATGAATTCATTAAAAAGGCATTCATTTGATAATAAAAAAAATAGAACAATTAATCTGACTAATTGGAAGGTTCAAACGAATTTTAACTGGGAATTGATACATTGTACATAACCTGAATGCACATATGAAAAGCAAAAGAAAGAACTGTTAACAGAATAGTAAACCAAGCAGGAAGCTGCTAGAAAGCCTCTGCACATACCTACAATGACCTAAAATGCCTGCTAGAAATAATTAAAAACACCAAACAAAACAAAAAAAAGCTAATTAAGATATACATACAGCAGGCTCAGTAAAGAAATACAGAAGTCTTATAAAACATAATAAATAAAAAATTGGGTGGATTGATCTTGAGTATAAAATTAAATGAAACAAAAATACTGTAGATAGTTATTATAATAGCAAAATATGAATGTAATATAATATTATTTTTACTGTTGCTATAATTCACATCGAGTACTACAATTCTAAGATTAGTGTATGTATTTGTGAATATGTATCGATTTTCTAAATATTGCCTAATTGGCCAAATTTTAGGAAAAACACCAACAAACAAAGAGTATCCCAGTATTTATATCAACAAAGGTCAGAGAACTTTGAATATGAGCTATAATGCTTTTGCTCTCTCTTTGGAGAGAGATTGGTAAAGACTAGCAAAGTAGTGGATACTTTATTGTGGCTTAGTAAAGATGTAGTAAAAAGGTAATTATGACCATCACTAATTTGGTATATAAATGCATGGAATATTATTACTGATTCCAGTTCACAATAGAATAACCTACTATGATTTACATTTGAAATGGAAAAAATACCATTTGATGCAGTCAGTATTAAAAATAGCTGGCAGCTATTTGAACTGTTGAAAAACACTGAAATAACACAAACATGTTTATGCATGTGACTTCCTCATTGTATTGTAAGGTCAAAAAACCTATTATCTCCTCAAATATGTATTTGTTTGCCAAAAAGTGCATACACTTGCATACTTTACATGAATACGAAGCACATTATATATTGCTATTTGAAATGTTTTGTAATTGTGAATTGGATTACCAATTAGACTCAACAATATCGATATATCAAGCATAAACAGAAAGTTTCAATTACTAAATTAAATAAAAAACACTTCCTTTAGTGGATTTTCAATGGTATGGGACACCTAATAATAATTTAGGATTATCTTATGGTGTTCTCGTAAGTTTTTTACTTTAAATCTTTTTGAGTGTCTTGTAAAGCAACAAGATCAAATACCAGGAACTAAGGGAAGCAAACAATAAATTTAAATAATTATAAATTTAAATCTCCAAGATTGTAACAACCTTCTTTTTTATGTGAAAAAATCTCAACAAAATCTTTCCTAACCTTGTAATATCACAGTCATTATACAATTTAAAATAACAGCCAATTCTATTGTACTCTTTTTGTCACCTTGTCCTTTCTACCTACCAACAGTTTTTTGTCACTGAATGCTAAAGTTATTTCTTCCTATTTATTTTTAATACTCACTGTTAATTTATTGGTAAGGTGGATTTAATTATCAAGAAAAATATAACAAAAACTAGACAAAATTTTGGTGTTTATTCTAGCTTTGCTCAAAGCTCATACAAATTGTGTACTAATATTGATTGAAAATGTATATTATTTAAGTATTTACTCTTTTTCAAGATAGAATCTTAGTTTTATGTTTATGATAAGTGTGTTAACTTTAAATTTTGCAGTAAAAAAGAAAAGTAGCAAAGAAATCGGTGACTACTGAATGTCAATTTAAAAAATGTATTTATTTAAAAGAAAAAGGGATTTATTCTGTATCACTAAAATAAAAATTTACAGACTAAAATAACAGCGTATTTAAAAAAGACAGTGTGTACACAAATAGGATTAGCATAGCAACGAACTTAATTAAATGTCCAATATTTATTTTTGAAAAAACTTAAGTTGTATGATCAAATACAAAAATTAAGATTTACTCAGTGGTTTTCCGTAAGTTTGGAATGATATCTTATTTTGAGGCAAACTAATTTTTCAACTATTTCCTTTTGGGTTGCGAGAATTTGATCGGAATCGGGTGTTTTCCACGGGATATGGTGGTGTTCATTTATCTGTCGTCATATTCCATAGTAAATTCTTGAAACTTCCAGCTATTAATAAACACCACCCAATGGGATATATACGATATAATTATTTACGAAGTATAGAAGTGTTTTAGAGAACTTTGTAACTAAACAAAAGATGGAAATAGGTATAAATATAAAGAGAATTGAACATGGAAGGGTCTAATATGGACCGAGAAGCAGATGATGATTAAAAATTGATTTTAATTTAAAATAAACTAGCAAAAAAACTTCATAATTCTAAAATATTACACTTTTATCACGATTTTCAATGATATAATAAGAAAAACAACAGACGTGTTGTTAGAATGCAGTTTGCAGTGATTGATAAACTTGTACTTCGTTAGGCAACTGTTTTTAATGTAAAGTCAATATTATGTTATATTTACCATAAAGGAAACAATGTCTTAATATTATAAAATGACTATTTTCACTTCCGCGGACTAAGCTAACTCAAAACTTATTAGTAAGGAAAAACTACATGCACAAATCCTAAACATAAACTGTAAACATTTAGTAATAATTGTAAACAAGATATTTTCCATAAATTATAGAGTTCTCAAAAAATATATTGTGTTTAATGGTGATTTAAAAAAAAAACATTCCAAAATCAAAGATGGTCTTTAGAACACTAATTGTTATTAAAACTGGGAACGAAATATACGAAAAAATCGGGAAATTTGGTGTAGAATAATACCTATCAAATCTTTTTTACGAACTTTTTGATTGAATCTCAAAGTTTCCTTAAATCAATGTTTCATAGAAGAAGCAATCTGAGATTATTAATAGCTCTTCCATTGCAAGTAGATAAGAAGATTTTGGTTTGGATGCTACGTATTCTGCAAATATTATCAAGATGACACTTTATAACGAAACAAACTTGTATATAACCCTAATACACGATAAGAAAATAATACTACAAAAACGCTACATGTTTTCACAAAATGTATCACAACTAGAAAAAAGAACAGCCTACCTTTTAATGAAGCAAAAATAGGTCGTTAAGGTTTTTGAAAGATTTAAAACCTTCCATTTGGATTACAAATTCCATCATTTATTCAAAATTATTATAAATTAATTTATAACTACAAATAAAGTAGTTCCTTCCCCTAAAGTTTCTCCGTGAACAAGAATATTCATGGTTTAGAAACCAAAAACATAAAAATAGATATATCTAGTTATATGATCGTGAAAAAATATATGAACAAAACAAAATTTTCTTTGTAAGTACTGTAACTGGTTTTAAAAAGACGTTAATTACACTTTTTAGCGATTATTTATTGTAAGGACTAAAAGAAAACTTTAAAATATGATTTCTAGGGTACACCCGGCAAACACGTTCTTTTCGTTATCTCTAAAGGAAAAACAAACACTTGTAATTACCTTTATCAGACTCTCCCCGAATTCGTACATGGCATTCTGTGACATTATAGCGGTAGACATGATTATCCTGTATAGCACCCACAATAAAAAAAAATACAAATATTCAGTACACACAACACACCGATTCTGCAATTGGGGAAGACTCGCTTTTTCAGTAGATTTTTTGCTGAATTACGAAAAAGTGCGCTATTCCACGAACGCAGCAATCGCGTGTTAGCACTTTCACGCAATATTTGTAACTGATGTTCGAATACATCGAGTGTGTTCGTGCTAAGTGGTTGGCTCCCACTCTGCCGGCCGAATCGAGCGCTGGTAGGGATGTAGATAAATTTTACTAGAGATGGTTGTAAGGACATTGCTATTAACGTTCCAAATTAACGATTCAATGGTTTTATTTTCTTTATCAATTTGTGTTGATTCCGTTCTTGTGTCTATGAAAAGATCATGGGCACAAGATTTCGATTTCGAACTTTAATATATTTAGTATACACTTGTTTTATTTCAATTGGGTTATTAATAGCTTTATTGTTTTGTCAATTAATCGGTTAGGTGTATTTGTTCCTGATTTTCCAGATCATTCTTTCACTTTTTTATGTAAGTTATAATGATCACACTTTTTCTGCAATTCTTCCACTTCGATGCATGTTTTCATCATTAACTTTTCCTTAGCCTCTTTTATTATGTTCCTTATTAATTTATGTTTTTCTATGTACTTATTTGGTTTTTTGTTTCTATATTTTCTTCTTGGTTCCATGATTTCCAGTATTTCTTGAGTTATCCAAGGTTTTTGGCTTTTTGTTTTCTTTTATAGAGTTTCTTTCTGTGTTTTTATAACAGAATATTTGATTTTGTTCAACATAATGTTTACATTCTCAGTGTTTTTTATTTCTGATGTTAATTTCTTCAGTTATCGATCGATACAAGTTGATTGTCTTTGTCTATTGTCCTTAGAACTTTTGGATTTTATTTTTTCTGATATTTTTTTCATGACAAATGTGTTACTTCGATAAAGAATTCCTTTTTAATTGAGAAATAATTATTATCGCATTGTATAATAAGTGTAGAAACCCGCAGTACTTCACTGGGAGAATATATACCTCTCTCTGTATTCTAAGCAGATATTTGTGCAATATTGCACTGTGCAAGAGAAATTAACATGAACGCTTTGGAACTTTAGGGGATTCAATGTGTTTTGTGGCCAAGATGCTATGGGGGTTCTTCTGAGCTGTAAGGTAGTCGGTATGTATTTGGCTTGGTTTGTCTAGTATACTAAGAATGTCACTATTAGTGTTAGCATTTATCCAAACTTTACCATTTATACCTAGAGCTATTTCATAAGGAAACTTTCGTCCAATCATTCTCACATTCTCAAGCGAAGATTTTCAATATCTAAAAGCTTTTGTGCTAATACTATTATAGAGATACATTTGTATAAAATCCTTCATCTGAGAGAATGCCTAATGATCCAGCTTTATAATAAGAGTCTACACACACTAACTCTGGCTCCATTTCTCCGTGAGCATTTAACAGCCGAGCATAAACTACATTTACAACTTGTACATCAGATTTCTGCTTTTTGGTTGCTTCTTCAAAATATAGTAAGGATACTTTTTTTAGGAATGTATCTTCTATTTCCGTCGATCTAATATAAATTAGATTTTAATTGAAAAATTTTCCTGGCTGGGCAACACATATCTGGCTTATTGTTTTAAAAACATATTCTACATGCAATAACCGGGTTTTGGGTGGCAAAGGCAAGCAAAACAGGATATTCTAACCTTCTTTTCTCTGCACAAAAATACTCTTACTTCTACAAGTTTCAGAAAACTGAACTTAGAAACGTCACAGGTGTTCTCACTAAGATCATGTCAGTAAAATAGACAGAGTAGACACAGCAACTTGCAGATTATCTGGTACTATTGGTTAAAATTGAAAATTTTTAAACTGATCTATTGTGGCATGCTTGATAATAAACCTTTTTTTTATTGGGGAATAACCGCATCAATCATAGAAGGTTATTAGCGGTGGTACAATATAGAATATAATATATTAAAATGATTAATATAAAATATAAACTATAAAGTTTTCACAAAGTTGATTATAATTTAGAATATTTCTTGAAGTATCACTTATATTTGATTACAAAATTTCATTTTCTTTAAAAACCTAACGATTTTGTCACAATCTGCACTTTCTAAAGCGCACTTTATATCACTTGAAGTCCAGTAGCTTGTCTTTCCACTTGATATAATGGACAGTCTACAACAATGTGGCCTACAGTTATTTTGGTGTCACAGGCGTAGCATATTCTAGGAGCTTCCTTCCTTAGTAGGTGTTTGTGCGCCAGTCTGGTATGTCCTATTCGGATACGATGTAGTACCTGGTCCCTTCGCTTTACTAAAATTTGTGTTTTCGCTGATAGATCTGGGTTTGCTTGCTGTAATTTATTATTTGGTAAGAGTTGCCATCTTCGTAACCATAAGTTTTTTGTGTACCCATTGATGCATTTTTTTCATATCTGAGTGAGAAATTTGGTTAGTTCTATAATCGGATCTCTCCATTTTACAAGCTTCTTTGGCCATTTGATCAACTATCTTATTTCCTGGTATCCCTACATGAGATGGTATCCACACAATATGTAGTTGTTTATGATTATTTTGTAGAGTCACAAGGTCTTTTTTAATCTGTGCTAAAATCGGATGATTCGGATATATTTTCTGAATTCCCTGGATTGCACTTAAGGAATCTGTGAATATTACTGTCATGTTTTCAGGTCGATTAAGAGTTTGTTGTACTGCCTTGGATATCGCAAAAAGTTCAGCAGAATATATTAAGTAGTCCTTAGGTAGTGGAAACTTGAACACAGAATCCTCTGTGACAATGGCGGATCCTACTGTTTCCAAGTCTGGTGTTTTTGATGCATCGGTATAAACTAGTTGATAGGATGAATATTTATTATTAATATTGTAGAAATATTGGAGAAAAAAGAGATAAAGGGGTATTGTCCTTAGTATAAGTTGATAGATTTGTGTTACCAGATGGAATTTGTATAGTCCCAGGGGAAGCATAATCAATATTGGAATGCATAATACCCGGAAATGTGAAAAAGTTGCTAATTCTTTTGCTAAATGATGGTTGAAGATGAATAAACCTTTTGTTTTCTATCTGCTGTGTGTTTTTTCTATCCATATATTTTCATTGTGGATATATTTTGTTTTCATTTACTTTGGATTAGTATTCCCATTGCTTTTTTTTATTAAGTTTTTCTTTTTAAATTAAGTTATTCCGTGTTGGGAACATATCTATTTAATTTATTAGTATTTATAAAGACTACAATCTTTACTTTTAATTCTGCACGAAGAATCGTTTTGTAGATTTTGTTTATTTCCCAAATACATAATCAGAAATACGTTCCAACAGTTTTGTTGTTCCAATGGACGAGCATCTCTATACTCTACCGGTGTAACGTTGCCAGCTTGTTCAAATTTTTAAAGCGACCGGTATGGCCACTATTATTGTGGTCGGTTGTAATTTTCGGGGAAATAAGGTACGGCAAATTCCATGAAAATAAACATAACAAACCAACTTTACTACAAGTTTTGTTGTTGTGAATAGGGCGAAGTAATAAAAGTTAGAAGAAATATATAACTATGAGCCACGTTGATATTCCTACTACAAATAATGAAATTTAAGGAAAAATAAGTCATATAAAAATTAAGTGCAAGTAATAATAAAATGTTTACAGAAATGTATGAAAGATGTATGAGTAACGTTAATATTTGCTTACAAAGAATGAAGTATTAGGCAGTCCGGCGAAAAATAAGTAATAAAAAAATTACTAATTACCGTCCTCTTCAAAATTTTGACTTTAACAAAACTAAATTCCAATTCCATTTCGCTGCCTAAGAATTACAAGGTTGCATGATACAAAATGTAGAAACTAAGAAAAATGACTTTGAATATTTTGACCATTAGATTTGGTATAAAAGAAAGTACCTATATTTGCTTTTGTTTTAAACATAATAGATGAAAGTCTACTACAAAAGCACATTTAAAAGAAAAGGAATAAAAAATATTAAATTTTTTCCATATTTTTATTGAAAACAAAATAACATCGTAACTTCGTGACTCTAATAAAAAACGAAAAATGCAAAAACATGATAAGTTTTTGTTACATTATCTTCTGATCAGCAATCTCAATTTTACTGTTTATGTTGAGACATATGTTGAAAAACAAGTGAACATAAAAGTTTCTGTCTACATTTGGCATCCACTTGTACATGGATTTCAGAGCTTCCACCTTGTGTTGTCCCAAGGTGACTTTAATATCACTTTTTTTATTGATATGGGTATTTAGTCATTTTCAGCAGTATGTCTTCTCGCATTTCGTTGTCTTAAACTGATGATTTTGTATTCACGTTCGTTAAAAGTGGTTCGGAAACCGATGTCATAAAAATCTGTAGTAAATTGTAAGGAAACCACCTTTGAAAATGGAACTAAAATATAATTCAGTTTTGATGAATAGGTTGAAAAATCTAGAAAATCTGGCTCTTTGATTTGAAGTATGGTGTAAGGCTTTCTTGTGTTTACTTTCAAAAGAACTCTTTATAACATAAGTGGAGAAAAGTATTCAGATTTTCTCAAACTGCGTTCAATTGCACTGAACTGAATTGAATCAACACCTTGTATGCAGGAATGCCCAGGTACTGAAATTCTCATTTGAATTTTCTTTAAGTTCGTATTAGTTTTTAAGATATGTGTAATAGCAAAATTCATAAATCTACTGCGATTTTGCGGAACGCAACTATCTTCCGCAAAGTCAAATCCTCCAATAACAGATAGTATTTTAAAACCCTTTTTAGGATTTTTTATACAGCACCCTGCAATATCATTCCCAGTCCAACCGGGCGTTCATGATTTGGACGCTAAATTTAAAATTCGACACTGAAAAATAAAATTACCTGTTTCTGCATACATGATTTGGACGCTGGGTGTAATTGAAATGTAAATGGAAAGTCAGGTAATAAAATTCTAGAGATTAAGCTTGATAAGGTTTATTTGTCACTTTGAAATAAATACGACATACATTTTACGAAATGGAATCGATCGATACAGTTAGTTTGATACTCATGTATCCTATTTCTGACGAACATAATTTTTTTTCTACTCTTTGGATCTTTAAGTCTATTACTTTCACTATTACAGACATTATTAATTTTAATGTAAGTTTCAGTTTGAAAATTTTTTAAAACATCAATAAAATGGAAAATATT